TCGTGATTCCCTTGTTTCCTTCTGCTTTCTTCCTTTGGCACACTTGGATGCACTAGAGGTGGAAAAACTAATGCTATTTAGTTTGTCCTATGCTCTTGGGATTGTCTAGCATAGGGTTTACAAAGGAGCTCAGAATAGATGCTCTGTAAACCCTCTGGGCTCTGTGTCACATGGCAACCTTCCATACACCGTGACACAGATGGTTCCTGCCAGTCCTCTTTCTACAGAAGAAAGATGCCAGCATTAACTAATCCATAAAGCTCCCTCACACTGGGCATTCACCCAGTTAGAGCAGTTTAAACCTCCATGGTGTCTTTAACACCGCTGTTGATGTTGTTGCCTTGGTGCTCCATTTCCTTCCTGCGCTAACTTCAAGCTTTTATTGGAGTGTGGGTAGATGTTGCAGCACCGGGTGATCTGCATAGCAGTGGCACTTTTACATCTGAAATACAGTTTCTGCTGTGGGAAACATCCTATTGTGGTGGAAGGGCTTCTGTCAGATCTGCTCCTCTGGCTGGGTTTCTAGGATGTAATCCTTGCTAGGGAGATGGAGAGTATCTTTTACGGTATTAATCTAGGATTTGATGGTCCAGGCTGTGGTGCTTTTTGAGTATAAGACTACGATACGGCCTGGTGGCTTCTATGTGGAAGAAAAACCAGCCAAAATCCTTTGGGAATTAGTGTTCTGTGGGTGAGTATCCCTGGCTAGGAGGCATTCGTACTTAAAGCTTGCTGAAAGTGGGGAACAGCCAGAGCAATGAATCAACCACTTGGATTTCTAGAGGGGCAAGATAGAAATTACTGAGCTATCATACGACCTAGGGGATGACAAATAGAAATGCCTTCCTCTTAATTTTTCATCAGACGATCTCATTTTACAGCAGATCCTCAGCTGCTGGAGATCAGAGTGCTCCCCTGAAGCCTGTGCTGATTTGCACCTGCTATGGATCTGGAAGTGGCATGCTCGATTTTAAAAAGAAAATAATTGTGGTTGTAGTGTAAAATCAGCTTAGCTTTGGATTAGAGAAGCTTTCAGCATTTCAGCCACTCTGGAGGTTGCATGTACCACATGTTGGGGAAGTTTCAGGCTGGCACACACGAACTTCTTCCCTGTCTTTCAGGTGAATTTCTATGATCATCTACTTCAGTGGCTGTTTTGGAACATTCTCAGACTTCTCCCTAAGTGTTTTTCTGCATTATTTATCTTGAAAGCAGTGGTTTTAAAAAGAATCCTTACCAGACCCATTTGGTCCTGTAATTTATCCTCGAGTTTAACTCATTCTGCATCCTGCAGTATCAGACAGGGATATGAATATTGTGAGACCTTAGATGCTGTTGTCTAGTTAAGCTGCAGTTTAAATTCTGCCAAAAGAGAATTTTTCTTCCCAAGATCAGCCTAAAAAATCTCAGTTTTTTAAGCTGGTGCTGGGTATGCAATATGGGCCCCTGTGTTCTGTGATTTCAAATAAGTGTTTTGTCTTGTCTCTCTCCCCTCTTTGCCTCTACTCATCCATCATTAAATTGTTTTTCCCTACATTCAGCTGAAAACTCAAGAGATGCTGCTGTTAATACCACATCATTTGTTCCCAGGGTGCAGGCGTATCCACAGACAGTGTACAGCAAGCGCATCATGCTGAGGGTTGCTTACAACATCCCTGTAATGCAGCTGATTTACATTGGCCCAGGGCAAGGGGTGAACTGGAATCATGAGGAGGCTTTTAAACTTAACCACATCTCCTTCAAGGCAGAGCAAAATATCCATACCATCTGATAGGAGAGAGGTGGTTCAACTCCCCCTGCTTTTTAAGAAGGCAAAAACAATACCCTGCATATTTACATAGAATCCCCTTAAGGACATCTGTCATGCTGGAGATTAAACTGAATGTCTTTCCCCAGTTTAATGTTATGCCTTCAGGCAGTCTAAGCCCAATAGATTTAGTTACTCTGCTCCAGATCCTAGATTACTAACACAGCCAGTTTTTATTCTTGCCCTTATTTTCCAGAAGCATAGAACCTTTGCTTGTAAATTACTGTCTTTGTGTGGGTTTTCTAGGCCACTTCCACTTATGTTTTGGAGCCTGGCCTATGCTGGATTTGAGGTTAGTGTTTTTTACATTAACTTCTAGCAGCTGCACTTTCCTCACCTCTATCTCCATATGGTGCATTAGGCAAGTTATTCAACTCATTTCCTTCCCTTCACTGTGAGACACATCACAGAAGCTGCATTTCCATCCAGCATCCAGAAGAAGTTTGCCTTGCCTTTAGGACCTGAACTCCAACTGCCACTAGAAAAACTGGCCAAAGAGCAGAGAGAAAAGCAATTATTAGAATGTTACTATGTTGACTTCTAAAACCAAGTTTACTTTCCGTACTCGGGGAATTACTCACATTTGCTGTCCTGCTGTGACTGAGTCTAGATGTGTGCTGTCTGCAGCAGAGAATCATTTTGTTCTGCCTGCTTGCTTGCTTTGCTCACTGTGTGGCCTGAACCATAGCTGGGGAAGCTTAGCCACTGCGGCATTTGAAAGCACATATTAATTTGTGGAGGAAGAAAAGATTCATTTGAAGGAAGAAACTGCAGTGTTTCCCCAGTGGAAGCACCCACTTGGCCAGTTGACGTTACAACCAGAGACAGGTCTCCATTAACATAATTAAAGGAAAGCAAACAACAGACATTTTGGAAACCTTCTGCAGGGTGATGTTTCTGATTCTCAGTTTTCACCAGTCCCTTACAAATGAGCTGGAATTGAACAGTAGCTCTGTCACCAATGTCAGAGCTTGAACAGGAGAGGGGTTTTGTCAGGAACCTGTTGGCAGGTGAATCACAAAGGGAGCAAAGGATTAACTCCATTAAGTGACTGTTTATCAAGACAGCTTTACTCATTAGATGTAAAGTTCAGTATTCTGCCAGCAACTTTGATATTTGTGAGCTGAATGTCCCATCTTGTGGCAACTGCTGCATTCTACAGTGTTCAATTTGCCCATGTATCCTTTAGGCAATCCCAATAAGTGAGGTGATCGTGAACCCCCCCCCCCCATGTCTCACTGTTTATCCTTGATGGTTTTAAGATACTGTTTAGTTGCAAATTCAGTGTATTATTTTGCAGGTTCCATGCACATAGCCAAGTCCACAAGTCTTAGATCAGGCTTGACCAGTTAATCCTTTGACTTTGGTCATTAATAACGACAGATGAACATGCCTCGTAACATATCTTCCAAGATGTTTCCAAATGAGCAGCCCGTGGTCAGTGTTAATGCTCTGCCACATACACTGTCATTCTTTCCCCTTGCTGTATGGTTATACTATGAAACTTGAACCTCATCAGGCAAGTGTAGAGTTTTCTAGGGGACTTAAAACACCTCGTTAGCTATATAAGGGCTTTCAATGCTCTTAACAGATTTCTCCATTAACCTCATAAATTTCTCCATAAATTCCATTTTATACTTGAATTCTAGTCAGTACCACCAACTGTGGCATCATCAAAGAATAAATTAAGGCTGTTAGGAGGCTCTCCTTGCCAGTCCTTCCTATTAAAGCTCAGTTGAACTAGCTTGCAGTAGGGTAGGTGCCTGTATGCACGTCTCCATGCATCACCTCTGGAGCCCCTCTCGTGCATTCTGGCCTACCTCTCAAGGAGGGCTGTTGCTTTCTGTCTCTCCAGCTTTCCCTGAGTATCTGAAGGGCCTTCTCCTCCCATCGCTTACCCATGCAATGCTGCTGTATGCCTGACTATACGTCTGTCCAAAGCATGTACAAGTTAGCCTCAAAATGGTTTAACTGTACTGGATTTGCAATAAGATAAAAAAGCAGCAGCAAAGCTGTGCATGATGACTCTTAGTGGATGAGCAATGTTCTGGCACACAGGAGCTACCCAAAACTAGAACGTAAGAGGGGCTGTACTCGGTGGGAGTCTGTCCAGTGTAGAGACCAGGGCAAAGGCTTCAGGGATGAAAATGCTTTCCACATGGTTTGTGCCAGAGTTATATGGGCTATTTCCTCAGTAGAAGTTGTAATCCTGAATAAAGGATGAACAGAGCAGAATCGCCCAATGTGTGTGTGTTGGGTCCTTCTCCGTATGAGCTCTGTATTAGATAGAAGGGCAAACAGACAAAGCTACCTTTCACCCCTCAACTGCTCATCAGTTACACAGAAACAAAGTTTAGTCTTTGAAGCAAGGAAGCAGAAATACAAGAATAAATAAAGCGGTGTCCCCCACAAAGCTTATAGGATGCTCAGGGGAAGAATGGGATATCTTTCCAGATACACATCAGAACAGCTGTACTCTGCCCTGGCTGAGTACCTTCCTGTATGGTTTTTGGGTGCACACAAACCTCTAAAATATTTGAATCATCCTGTGGTGAGACATTCCGTGGTTCAAATAAGCCCCATCATAGTGCAGCAGCCCGCAGATGCACCTATCAGCTTTGGAGGATCTCTGGGGCTTCTGGGGCTGGTACTCCATGGTGTGACCAAGGGTGTAGTCCAACTCAAAGGAGCTGCCTTTGGGAACAAAGTTAAGCTCTTGAATTTGTGACTGGAAGTGTGGAGGACATTCAGCCAGGAGTTTCAAAACTACAAAGCTGTAACAAGAAATCTTGATAACTAAAGATGGATAGTGCAGTGGTCCTGAACTTAGACTAATTCTGACAAACCTGGTGCGTGTCAGAACTGAGCTGTGTAGATACCTTGTGGAGGAGTATTTATTCTGTGTGACATGAAAAGACACTTGCAGTATTTCAGGAGGGAAACTAAAAATCTTCAAGGGTTAGATCCAGCATCTAAACTCAGGCTGCAGAGACAGTTTACATAACCAAAGCTGTGACTGTGCCATTAACATAGCCCTTCATGAGTTAATCCAGCTCAAATTATAAAGCTGTATTACCATAGAACCCCAGAATGGTTTGGGTTGGAAGGGACCTTAAAGCTTATCCAGTTCCAACCCCCTGTCATGGGCAGGGACACCTTCCACTAGACCAGGATGCTCCAAGCCCCTTTCAACCTGGCCTTGAATACTGCCAGGGATGGGGCAGCCACAGCTTCTCTGGGCAATCTGTGCCAGTGCCTCAGCACCCTCATAGGGAAGAATTTCTTCCTAATGTCTGATCTAAATCTACCCTCTTTCAAATTAAAGCCATTCCCCCTTGTCCTGTCACTGCATGCCCTTGTAAAAAGTCCCTCTCCAGATTTCCTGGAGGCCCCCTTTAGGCACTGGAAACTACTCCAAGGTTACCTGCCCCAAAGCCTTCTCTTCTCCAGGATGACCAGGAACAGCTCTCTCAGCCTGTCTCATAGGAGAGGTGCTCCAGCCCTCTGATACCTTTGTGGCCCCCTCTGGACTCACTCCAGTGGGGTCCACATTATTATGTTCTGAGGAAATAGAGAAGATGAACCCAAGAGCAGTCCTAGAAGTTGCAGGCATCACAGTTAGGTATTCCCTTGCTCTGGAGTTGAGAGAAGTAGTCAAATAAACAGAAAGGACCTGGCTCTGAATTAAACTCTGTAGCTCTTGAAGTCTCTATGGTGCCTTCATTGCTCTCTTCCTCTTCAATTACTCTGAGGCTTTTTATCTTTAAGAGAAATATAAATATGCCAAAGCAGCACATTTTCAAATGTCAATAGATGCTTTTCAAACCCCATGAGCGATGGCAAAGGTGTGGCGAGCACATACTTAATGTGAGGGGCCTGAATCAGCACTCAGAACAAATCTGTAGAACTTCTGTGAGTTTGGGAATGCTGCAGATTTGCACCAGCTGGGAGTGCAGGCTTGCCTTTCCACTGCAACATATGCTCACACTGGCAAGGAATTGAAGCCCAGATTGTGAACTGCTTACTCACAAGGATGAACAGCTACTCATAAGCAGTTTAATGGACTTCACTGGGCCTCTTAAGTGGAGAACTCCTTACTGGTGAGAGTACAGGGCTCAAAATGCAGCCCTCAGTTTTCATCCTGTAAATAGCTGCTGGTGGGTTTGCTTAGTGCTGTAAATGATCATCATTTTACAATGGATGGCCAGAGTGGATGATGAGATCAGAGACTAAAGGGGTAGATAGCTGCTAGCACAGAAAGGAGAAAGAAAAATTCAGTTTGCCTCAGTTGCATTACCTCCCTCTAAAGAGATGTCCCTTCAACTCCAAAGCGGCAAAAGCAGATACACGGTTCCATTTCACCAAGCCATCAAACATTATAACAGTCAGTTATATAAACATCTGAATCTGGTGACATTTGATTCCAGTGCTGTGTGGGCAGCCTGGTTTACAGCAGAGATTTCTAAACAGGCAATCCAGTTTTCCAGGTAATTAAAACTGTTTGCACAGGCTAGTAGATTTATCTTTTGAAACCATTTCAGCACTAGTGCTCTCCAGAGTGGTATCAGTTGACACAGTGCATAATCTAGAAGAGACTAATTGCTGCATGATTTCTAATTCTTCTGCAGTCATGTAAATGAGCTGAAGACTGCACAGGTGGAGCCTATTAGAGTGAATGATTTTGCTCTCATGTTGTTATCTTCATTTGCTGTTGTCTTATCAACTCAAAGGAGGAAATCTGCTGTCATGAAAAGCAGGCAAGGGAACAATGTCTGACTGAAAAGTCTTGTTTCATTATTTTTTAATTCATATGGTACTACCTGCCTAATGCAGTTTTCTGATTACCATGCGAGGCAGCCAGTAATGCAGTTTTATTCAAATAAGGGAAGCAGTGCTTTAATTTAAGCTAAGAAATCATCCACATTTCTTACCAGGCAACAAGGATTGTGATTCAATAATACATGAATTTAATAATGCATAATGGTAGACTTTGCAGGTACTAAATAGCAATATCAGAATGAATTAGTATGCTGTGTTTTTCTATGGGAGTCCATCTCTGTTTCTCTATCTCTGCTTTGTTTTTCCTTGAGCTATTTCACTCTCCAAGAGGTGGGATAAACAAATTTAGTTTTAGTTCCAGAAAAGCACCATCACAGATCTCCTAAAATCTTTTTTTGGCTGCACAGGAAGGCCTTATGCCTGACCATGTGCAGATGTTCCATTGTATCTAGAAACCCATGTCTGCACCAAGAAAGAGAGACAAGTAACGCTGTTTCCCATCAAGGAAGTTCTCAGGAGCATGGGGCAGTAAGGCACTGCTGTGGCTCCTCTTAGAGGGTTATCCCAAGATAGAAGTACTCTGCTAGTTACAAGTTTGGTGCTTTTTCAAAGCCTAAATAGAATCTCAGCCTTGCACCATTGTTGTCCATTAGTATGAGAAGATACTCTTTCCCACGTCTTTTACCCCAGTATGTTTCAGAGAGCAGTCACACTTCTATTGTGCTGTGTTGTTCTGTAGCTGTTGAAGCTAACCTTAATTGGTCAGCCTTGTGTGTTCATAATACTACATGTGGGTTGCATGAGCCCTTTTTAAGTCTCTAGATAACAGGGAAATGCAAGAAGAGAGGGATATCTACATTTATATCATCTAACTAATGTGGCTGAGTTAGGAGACTAACTTAGGGCTTCCCTGTCCATTCTTTGGCATCTGAAACTAGCAGGGTTTTCTCCTTTTCATGGGTAGCATGGGCTGCTTGGCCTTCACCTCCATCAGGCATGACCTCCAACATACTGGCCATTCAGATACTCCTCCTGAGCATCCTCTTTTTTCTGATCCTTGAAAAAGGAGACACAAGATCCTGCTCAAAATACAAAATGAGTGTATAGCTTCTCACTCTGGTTCTATTTTATGATTCTTGGCTTCATGTGCCTTCCTCAGGAGTTATTGCCCCCAGCCCCTTACACCTCAGAATGCCTCTATTACACCCCATCACCTCTGTGAAAGTTTGGGGATTGCACAGTTTTGGGTTTCTTTGGTCCTGCATTCCAGCAAGTTCTCTGTCTGTGTTTGTTTTAGTTGAAAGGGATGTTGTCACCACAGTCAGACATGAGCACCCACATGTAAGTCTAAGAGCCCACTGCTCGAGAAAAGGGAACATATAAAGTAAAAGCATGTAAGTAACTACAGAGCAAGGAAGAGAAACAAAAAGCATGGGCCTGATTCTGCTCACACCAAAAGGGTATGTAGACCTCAGTTAGTTTCCATTCTGCAGCCCTCAAAAATGTTCCCTCAGTGCAATCCCATTGATTTAAATGGAATTATTCCTGATTCACACTGTCCTCATATGTTTATAATAAAAATTCTTACCAATGCCATTAATACCCTGCAGATTATTCAAACTGAAAGAATTTTTCAGGACAGATTCAACTTTCATCATTTATGCTCTCTGTACACTCCTTGCATTTCACTCATCACAAGCAATAAAAACTTACTGATCGGTTTCACTTTTATTTACAATCCAATTAATTCCCTGGCACAATGACATCCTATTTAGGTTCATGACATTGGAGTGAATTGGTCTGGGTTTGGTTTTTTCCTAAGCAACCTATTTCCACTGCATTTTTTTTTCAGTTGATTGTCTCCTTTTATTGGCAGTTTAGGAATTAAAACATTTGTATTCCTTAATAGTGTTCCTCCTAATTCTAAAATGCCCTTGGGAAAGCTCTGATTAACTGTACTACATTCAAATGGAGAATGATCTAATTACTGTTTCCATACCAAGAACTTCCAGAAGACAGGATTATGTTGTTTTTAGCTCCTTTTGTGTTTGGAGGCTTCTTATACATAATATCTACATGTACATGCTTCATGTAGATGTGTGTAGGGATGAGTGCACACATACAAGAAATATGTGGAGATTTTTTAAGAAGGAGAAAAGATGAAATTTTGTTCCTTTTATATTTAGGCCGTTTTGCTTATATTAGTTTTCTTTTCAGCAACAAATTACGCTCATCCTCTGCAGACAGAAGCTCGCTTAAAGTTGTAAAATAGATTTCCTTCTGCATTGTCCTGTTCAATAAACCTCTTGTTCCATTGTGGAATCTGTGGGAGCCTTCTCCGGGGACAAAACCAGTTCATTACGTATCGCCCAGTGCCCCATGTGGAGCGTTCATCTGGATTCCTTCGACACAAAAACGTGCTTTATGCCGTTGCAGGGGCTTTTGAGAATTTTGAAGTAAATCCAGCTCTGAGCTGGTATATCAATGGCAAATCCTCTTAGCTCTGGTTGCAGGAGATCGGGATGTTATTTCAGCATTCATATTTGGGAGCTGTTCCATTAACACCTACAACAGTAGATGCGGATATATATTTGGCTGCTGTTTAGGAGGATCTGTTTGATGACTTATCCTGAAGACAGGGATATTCTGTTCTTACTTGTACCTACATATCTCCATGGAGTTTGCTAGTTTAATATTTCTAGCATACCATCGTCTCTCTGCCAAGGTAGGGACACAGCTCAAAGGAGAAACTCAACTGTCTCAAATCATCAATTTTGTATCCTGTTAACACACTCATATCCCTAAAATGTTCTTATTCAGAGGTGCAGTCTTCAGATACAGATTTGGAGAGTTGAGTAGTGTGCTTGGAAGCCATTTTGAATGTGGGACAACTTTCCAGGGGTTATAACTGTAACTCAGGAATGAGCTCAGCCGTTGCACTTAACAGATTAGCACTTACCAACTTGTCATCCTTTCCCACTAGTCAAGCATCCCATATCAGCTCATTGAAAGGCCTTCAAGGGCATGGACATTTTGGCTGATGAATACAAAGCTGCCTTACCTGTAGGGTGCACGTTCTGCTAGCCCATTTTTTGTTTTGTGCTTGCAGTGCATTTTCAAAAGGTCTTTGGTGTAGATGGCTGCAGAGATGAGAGGTACTTATGTGTGTCCAGGTCTTTGTGATATGCAGTGAAGGAAGTGGTTTTGCCAGGGATGATACTTATCCATGTGCTAACAATATTGGTCATGAAGCAGAAGTGGCAGTAGGGAATTAATGCTGTGAGGGCACCTGTGTGATCAACCATTTATATACGTTAAGCATTTATTAAATAAGGCCATCTCTTTTAAACACCTAACTAATATGTAATTTAACTTATTAAATTAAAATAATTAATTTCATTTAAGCTGTTATTTTCCTGGCTTTCTTGTGGAAAACTTCCTACTATTCCTATTCCTATTTTGTATCAGAAGTTCCCTAATGACCTGACCTTCTGTCCTCGTTATCAGCTTATCCTTCTTTTTCAACCATGAATCTTCTGATGCTTGATGTTTTGCATTTACTTTTGTTTTTCTCTTGATCTCTCAGATCCTGGAGGCATGCATTCAAAGAAGATCCTTG